GAAACTCAGCAGAGCTTCACCTCATTCACTAAACTAAGGGGAAACTGCACAGTACAAAGTCCCTAGCAAAGTGAACAGCCTATTTGCCTTAATCAACCCCACCGTGCATACCATAAAAAAGCAGTATCAAAGTTAAACTGGAATGTTTTTATCAAACTCTCTGTGCTTTGGTGTAATGGGTAAATGAACAACAAGGAGCTAAAAGTACAAAAAGTTCCTGTAGACATACTGAAAATAGATGGAGATAAAGTTTTTTCATTTCAACAGCATTCCATACCTCTTAAATAATATAGATAGCTTGCAAATTGTACAATGGCTATTCAGATCAAAATTATCCTGAATTGTTTAAAAATCACCTTCTTTTCTCCTCCTGTGCTCTCCCTTTTTCTTCCCTTCCTCCTTTTGCTTTCTTTGTTTCTTTTCCCCGAATTCCCCCTTGTTACATTGCCATTTTGACAATTGCTTATAGGGATGATGCGGCTGGCTTACCCGTCAGTTGATGTCACTGACCGCTCCTGTTCATCATATATCATTGTTGTGCCTAACCATCTTGTTTCTGTATCCTGATGCTATGCATTGAGAATAATGTTAAAAAAAAATTCTGTCTTTTTGCACCTTCACATTCAGAACTTTAATAAATACTTTTGAAAAAAAAGATAGCATATGGTTAGTGAGGCAGCAACATAAGGGAGAATAGTTGGACGAAGGGAAGACCAGCTTTATAGATATTGATGTAAGTCTTGCCAGTACCTCCTCCAGATGAATGCTATATGGTAAGGTCTGCCTTCTTAATAACCACTTGATCTGTCTGTAATGAATAAAGCTACAGTCTCAGCATCCCTTTTATGTGCACAAGCCCTATTAGATTGCATATCTGGCTGTCAAAATGTCCATTTTCTTTTTTACGCCTTTAAGCAGTTGAGGGAGACATCTGGTAGTAAAATTACTTTATATATTTTAAGCCAGTGACTTTATGATGTGCTGTAGACTTGCATAATAAAGATGAATCATTTTGCCTAAGGCAGTAGGATAAAAAGCAACAAGGTGTAACATTTATTTAATGGATATTTTTTTGTTTGACAGCACAGCGTGGGGGGAGTGGAGAGCTGCAGAGGCTGGAGAAGAGTCAGAAGTCTCATAATGTAAAATCTCCACCTAAGTGGATAACTGTTGTAGTGTTTTGTATATAAAACAGCCAACATTTTACATCCAATAACACATTTTAGTTTTTGATTTTCACAACTCAAATCTATACTCGGTTGTTGGCAAAATGCTTTGAGTTTGTATGAAATGTTTGCTCAAAGAAGCATAATCTGCCCTGAACACTTCACCATTAAAACAATAAGCAGAGTGATAACCAAGTTTATATTTCACGTATGATTTGTAGAAAGTGAAATGAATCAAATTTCCAAAAAGTACAACTTTTTTAAAAATTGTTTTATTTTATTTTTACAGAAATAAATGTAGTGCAATGTAATTCCAACAGATACAGTATAATACTGACGGTGTGTCATTTTATTATGTTGCAATGCATGACATCTATTATCATGCAATAAAACATATGTAATATCCAGAACTACATTAGACTTAGGTTGGTTCTTTGTATTCAATATGTTTAGATAAACTCGTTATTACAATACTACATACAATGCATTTTCCCTTAATAAGTGCAAAAAGTGTTTTCTACTTGAAAAATGTTGCACTACATATATAACATCATTAGATTAGACATTTCACACAACTGCACTATGTAATATACTTCTAAATTATTTCTGTAGCAGGTTTTAGATTTTGTTTGATAAGCATGGTGTGTAATGTTAACACAGTCTGTTTTGATTACATGTAGTATTGTGATGTGTCACCTGCACTCCTTACAGCAACTGGACTTTGATTAATGGTGGTGGTGGTGCTCGTAGTGATTGGATGGATGGCGCCGGGTTTTCCAAAATCTTAGAAAATGGAGATCACCAGCACTCAGTCAAAAGCATTAGATTATTTTATTGAGGAAACATGTCACAAGCATCATTTAGCCAGTTTCGGGCCACGCAGGGTCCCTTCTTCAGGGTGTCATAGTGACTTTTGTGCTACTTGTTCAATGGTCCAGTTACCTGTATGCTAGACCTGGTTTTATGATTGATTTTGTACAACTGTTGCTGCTGCACGTTTCAGGACCTTTTCACACCACAAGCGTTGGGCTTCATTGTTCAACACAGGCCCAGCATAATGAGAAGCTGAAATCAATTGTTTCCAATAGGCACAGTTACACCAAAGCGCTGCATTGGTGTGTGTTGGGTAAAATTGAAAAATGCTGCAATGAAATGCAGCACGAGGCATAAATCATCGCAACTTGCTGCCACGCATGTAAGGGAAAGAGAAATTAAAGTGTTTTGGCTCCAACTGTGACCCACAAAAAGTACACAGCAAAAAAATGCCAACACAATTGCATTTAGCGCATGCCAACGTGCACCAAAGATAATGCCTGTGGTGTGAATCCAACCTCAAAGTGCATATGAATCAAGGGTATATCTGCAGCCACAACTGTTCATATAACTGTTTTGATGTCAAGTAGTACAGCAGTGGGGTTGGGAAGGTGTCACTTGTCTAGTGGAGCCTCCATGTTGGCTCGCTGATGTCTGCCATAGTATGTCTTTGTGACCGTAGTATTTAGGGACCCATGGATTTAAAAGTGGGTAACATGCCTTGAGCGTCTGCAATATATTATATTTATAGCTACAGGGTTCCCAAAGTCATTGGCCCTTGTATGTTTGCTGCTTGCATTGCCCCTACTGCTATCACACACTCACAATGTGGTACAAGATACCATTCTTCTGAATTTCTTATTTCCTTCCTGATCAAAGTAACTCTGCTAATCAATTTTAAAACAGTTGGCCATGACCAGGTGAGTTTAATAACAAAACGATAGAGAAATAGAGAATTAGGATTCACAACATGATGGCATAGTTTTCATTTGTCATTAAGCATTCTGAGATAAGTTATGCTAAACGTTCCCTCACAATGAAACCCTTATAACCTGACCTACTGACATTTGAGAAGCAGGCTGCACATTTTCATTACCATAGCTGCATAATGTAACAGTGTATAGATTAAAGGAGAACTATGAGGTGAGTGCTTTTCACTCGCCTCATAGTTCTAGCCGACCTGTGACAATGAGACTGTCACAGGTCGGCTCAGTAGATCGGGAGGTGAGCGAACACATACCGGCGTTCGCTCACCTCTCGATCCTGCCACAGCTCTCTGCCGTGACAGGGGAGGGGCTGGATTCCCCCCTCCCGCTCCGATCCGCCAGCGCTGACTGGCAGAATGGACGGGGGAGGGTAGCTTAGGGTGACAGGAGAACGCTAGTTTGTGTCCTCCCGTTACCCTATTTCACTATTCATGCAATGCTGTAGCAAAATTATTTTTATACCATTTATTGGGCACATATAGAGCTTTCTTTTGGTGGTATTTAATCACCACTGGGGTGTTTATTTTTTACTATATAATGAAAAAAGTACGGAAAATTTTGGGGGGAAAAAAGTTTTCCATATGTTATGAGACTTTTATATTTCCCCAAATTTTTGGCAATATATAAAAGATGGGATCACGTCGGGTAAATAGACGCCAAACATGTCAAGCTTTAAAATTGCGTGCACCTGCGAAATCTCAAAAAACTGCCATGCCTAACATTGTCCATAGGTGACGTTTAAAAGCTTTTACCGCTCATCAGTTTCGTGTTATCAGTGATTATTGGCCCTAGAATTATTGCTTGCACTTTGATGGTTGCGGTGATATGTAACATGTGTGGCGTAATGGGACGCATATCTACGTTTATATGTGCGTGCATGCGGGGACGTGGGACTTAAATTTAGTTTTGTGTTTTTTTTACTATTTTTTTTACTATTTTTTTATGTGACTTTAATTATTTTTGATTTTTACACTTAACTTTATTGCTTACACTTAACTTTATTTTATTGCTATCACATAGGGGGATAACAAGCCCCCTATGTGATAGCCAAAATACAATGATAGGTCCCCTTTATGGAGAAATTAGGGGTCTCTAAGACCCCTAATGTCACCTAGGGACCCCCAAAGAAGCTGATGAAGCAGAGATCTGCTTCACCAGGTTCTTCCCTGGCTATAGCAGCCAGAGAAATGACAGCTAAGGGTGGAAGTGATGTAATACACTTCACTTCTGCCTTCAAGCATCGGAGGAGAGATCAGCAGTGGGGGAATGCTGAGCTCTCCTCCGTTGCTAGTGTAAGGAGCTGCTGTGCTGGTCCCGGACCCGCAGGGGGGACAGCGGAGCCCGGGATAACCAGAGGGGGTGACTGCACTTTGTCATCATACAAGCGATCAGGCCACCCAAACGCTTGTATGTCACAGCCGGTATCAGCTGAAAAAAGAATTTTGCGGGATTCTGCTTGAGCAGAAAAATAAATCATGTGCATACAGGTCCACCCGCTGGGAAGAGTCCACCGTCCGCCCAAGCATTTACAACGGGTGGGCGGCAAGTGGTTGATATTAATAATGCCCATGATTTGAAATAGGATGTCCAACAAGGTCATAAAGGTATGATGGTCAGGTGTCCACATTTGGTCATATAGTGTACTGTATATGTATATACATTTCTATCATCTAAAGTTCACTGCTAATATATAAAATTAGCTCACAGTGCACTGCTGAATGGTTTACACACAGAAACAACCTGTGGAAGTATTACATTCAGATAATGGCGACACTAATGTCACTGTTTCTTCACCCACTATGTCAAGAGCACTCCTACTACATTAATAAAAAGTATATGCCGTTTTAGCTGCAGTTACATTTTTATCAAGAAGAACTCAACTACTTTATTTTAAAACTACCAATTCTGACATGTTTTCACGTCATTTGTAACTCTTTCAGTTAAGATCCCATTGTGTTCATTTAACGATGACTTAAAGCATTGAACCATAGACAATCCTTACAGATGACATATGAACCACAAGTTAGTTCTGAGAGCTGACTTACTGTCACCTTCCCAGGAGAAAGGTAGATGTTTGTAACAAAGGACTATGAAAACAAGAAGCCATTGTACATAAATCATGTACCATGAATATATATTATAAGAAAATATAATTGTTATATAATATGAATCTAGACAGTGTTACATTCAGAACTCTTTGAGGATATTCATGAGAATCAACTATCATATACAATTTATTCTGATACCTATAGATTTTCAAAGACTATATTGTCTATAACTTCTTTAATATTGAAAAAGGACATGTCAGATATATGACTGAGAAAAATCATTGTGAGGGGAATTGATCAAACTGGAGCAGACAAAATCTGGAGCAGCTGTACATGGCAACCAATCAGCTTCTCTCTTCAGTTTGTTCAGTTACAATTTGAAAATGAAGGAGAGATGCTGATTGGTTTTCATGCACAACTGCTCCAGATTTTGTCTGCTCCAGTTTTGACAAATTCCCCTCATCGTACATGTTATCTTGCTGCTTTTCTTCGGTCATATGATTGCTATATATCTTTTCCACATTCAGGACACAGAATTTCATCTCTTTCTGTGAGAAAGCCACGACCCACCAAGGAGATGGCGCACTTCTTACAGTTAAAGCAATCACTGTGCCACTGGCGCTCTTCAAAGGATATGTATTTTGTTCCTCCAAGCCCTGACAGACAAAAAGATAACACAAAACACTGATTAAAACAAATATATTGGTATGCCTTTTTTTTAGAGTTTATCTCTAGGAACAACATTTTTATTTTTGTGTTTTGGATAGAGTAGGGAAGGTTAGAACCCTTTGTCAGGGTTTTATTGATGTCTGTGCCCCACTAGGGTCTTGATGCCCAACCAAGGTGTGTTGGCTGCTGTGCTCTATTGTACAATGCATTGGGGTGCCATTCATGATGAAGATGTAAATTATTAGTATGACTAAACCAATACGTGTAACAAAAGCTGGCATGTCCAGAATTCAAATCATAAGGTGATTCTTAAAACACATTTCTCCAGGGAAGCATATGCTGCCTCCACCAACTGTATTATTAATTCTAATTCTTCCATCAGCTCATCTCTCACAGTTAATGCTTTTGGTATTCTAACTTTACTGTCTCCTTTTATTTTGTACTGAGCTAACCTTTGGTGCCACATAATTTTGGATAATGTTTTATTTTGGATAACGTAAGAAAGGGTTAAAACCACTATCAGGTTTTTTTTTTGCCATCTCTGTCTCTTTATGAAGATCCCCCTTCACTTCCTGTCTCACTTCCTGTCTCACTGACTCAATAGGAAGTGAGAGGATATCTTTCCAATCTGAGGGACATGAGACAGTGTCATAGGAACAATCTCCCCAATGGAAGATTTCCCCTCTATTCCATTTCTGGTGGCAACTAATAATTGTGGCATTACGCTCACTTTATATTGACATGATATGCACAAATGACTAGTGCAATCAGAGAGAGCGAATCTCCCTAATGGGGGATACATACAGCAATAAAAACTGACATAGGTTGTAACCCAGGGGTGGGCAACTCTGGCCCTCTAGCTGTGCTTTAACTACATATCCCAACATGCTTCTGCCTCTGGGAGTTAAGCCTGTAACTGTCAGTCTTGCAATGCCTTGTGGGACCAGTAGTTCCAAAACAGCTGGAGGGCCGGAGTTGCCCACTCCTGGTCTAACCCCTCACTATCCGAATCTAAAAATGCATTTACTAATACTTTAACATGAGTATTTTGCATTACGTTTCTTTTTAACATTTGAAAGAACAATGAAAGAATTGGACAGTCAGAGAATATAACTAGGAATAACAGAAAAAGAGAATAAATACCACTTATGGGGGTAGTACAAGCAGCACATTTCTTGGCATACAAGTTGCAAAAGCAGTTCAGACAATAGGCAAACTCATCCCTAGATGTAAACCGTTGTCCCGATAGAGGTTTCTTGCATCCTGTACAAAGAAAGCATTCTTTATGCCATGGCTGATCTCGGTAGGTGACACCTCCAGTGGTGATGGCCTTTAAGATAAAAAAATAATTTTCACCAACAAGTTTATTACTTTCTACATTCATTCATTTTATTTTTGCAAGCATAATTCATTAAGGTTTTATATAGAATCAAATACATTTGCATAGTCCTAAGCTTCCAGATGTCCCTATTTTGTGCCAGTTTTGTGATATTATCTGAAAACAGCAAATATGATATCAGGGGTAAATAAGGAATACAAAAGAATTTTGATATAAAATATTTTTGCTTTTTTTTTAATCACACCTTGTAATGGGCTATTCTTTATAACATCCATAAAAGGAATGATGAAAAACATGTAACCTGAGGAGTATTTTCCAAGCTGTTGCTGGCCTGCCTTTGTCACTGCTGATTTGTTTTTCCTCCCTGACATATTAGTAGAGGATTTCCAGGAAAAAGGTGGTTATTTCCTGTCTTCTTGGGATTCCCCTTGTAGTAACATCTCAAAATGTCTTAGAAAATCACAGCTGGCCCCCCATCCTGCTGTCATTTGAATGCTGGACAGATATCCAACCAAAAAGTAGTTACTAGAGAGAATGCCTATTTCATGGTTGTACCACAATATCCGTCAGCTGGATGGATGCAAAGATTAAAGTAAATATAGTTGCTTTTTATATTCCCCCTAGACAAAATGCAGTGTGGGGGCACCGCAGTATTGGTGTTAGTCACCACAAAATAACTTCATAATTGGTGTCAATGATTCCTACTACAACCCCCACATGTCAGTGGCCACAGTACCCTCCCAACTGCTGCCAGTGGCTGCAATAATAACCCCCAGCACTGGTGTCAGCAACCGTAATAATAACCCCCAGCATATGTCAGTGGCTGCAAAGGCAGCCCTCAGAATTGTGCCCTGGGCCCCATAGGGGCCCCATAGGGGCCGCATGGGTCGCTATGGCGATTGTTACGCCACTGCAAGGACTATACTTGTACTGTTGTGCAGTGATCACTCCGTCTGACAGTACCGGCTTTATGTCAGGGTACCTCACTGCCCCTCTGTACAGTAGTTACAAGTGCCCAACTGATGGTAGACCCGGCCTTGGACACGATGGGCCACATAAAGTCATCTGGCCGCATGTTGGGCACCCAGGTGTTAGAATTTCCATTAAAGTATATTGGAGTACATTTTAAATGGTAGTTCTACCCATCTTCCAATTGTGTGTACATGTTAGTTGTAGCCCATGTACCATACTTAACTTGCTTGCATGAAACTTTACTAATATGTAAAGGTCTTTCCAGCCAGAGCGGCCCAGGTTGCGAAGAGTGGGGAGATGTGTAAGGGCCATACACATCTCCACTCCAAGCTCTTAGCAACCTAGGACACTCTGGCCGGTGTCCCGCCCAGCTCTTGGTGACCAGTGACGTCACTGGTTGCCAGAAGTGCAGTCAGTGAGCTGGGTGGGATAAACCACCAGGATGTTAGCATGCACCACAAGCACCCCATCAACCGTCATCTGGAGTTCAGCTTTAAGCAACTGCATAATTGATTCCACATTGTAACCAGAACAAAAGCAATAGGGTTTCTAGCCATCACACATTTCTAAATATTAGAAGGTTCTGTCTGCTGAAAGGTTTAAGCTGTTTCTGCATAGCTTTGACAAATATTGGGTCTTCTCTTAAACTATAACTAATGCTAATAAGGTTTGAACAATGTGCAGACTCCACTTTTCTATGGTATCAGTCACAGTAAAAAAAATGTCTTCATTAGTGTCCGTAATTCTTATCTCCAATGTATTGCTCAATATGCTCCGGAGGCCAAGGCAAGGGTGGTTGATGTCAACAAAGTGCTTTTCATATTTTAAAGCACGCAATATAGTTTGGAATCTTTAACAGATGGCTTGGTTGTCACTTACTTTTTTGCACTGGATGCAGTGCATTGCAAACTGCTTTTCATAGCATGGCACACAAAAGTTCTGGTTCTCCTTAGGGATAAAACTTTTCGTTCCCATTGGTTGCTGACAGCGGGTACAGACAAAACAGGTCTCATGCCAGCTATTTCCTTTATATTCCATCTTACGTGTCCCTGTTTGGCAAAGCATAGATTGTAAAGGTTAGGTCACCATCACTTACAAGTATATTGTTCTTTTAACTGACAAAATTATGGGGAATATTCATAAAGCAGTGAATGTGACATTCACCGAACATTGACTGCAGGTGGATCGTCCTGATCAATGTGTTTCCATAAACACCACCAGTGAATGCTTAGTGATTGTCACATTTACTGCTTCATAAATATGTCCCTTAGTGTAACTATAGTTGGCTGGTATTCCAACACTGATTCATGTGTTGCATAAATACAAAACCACGTTTTGACTAATAACTAAAACATACTTTTACCATTAAAAAAGAAAATACTTATCCTACATCTGAATGATCTGTTCTGGATTATTGTGTAAACAATTCCTGTGTGTTGTTTGGTAAATACAGTCTTGGAGAGGAACTGCTGCACTCCTTAACGGAACCCCTATGTATAAAGGAGGGTGCTGTAGTAACCATGCAGGGTCACACAGGATCCCCTTCATCAGGTTTTAGTATGACCTACGTCAGGGCTCAAAATTTCAAGTCCTGTACTAGCCAGGGCCTAAGAGTTACTCGCCACTAGTTGCCCCACCTAACCCCTCCCCTGCCCCGACATTAACTCCGCCCCTAAACAAACCCTCTTAAATAATCTTATGATAATTCTTATCTTATGATAGTTGCCGCTTGTAAACGTCAGATTAGGAATTTCTGCTGCAGGAAAACGCAAGTTCCAGACGCAGGCATTCCTAATCCCTGAAATATAGGTGTAAATTGGGGCCTAGTATACACATACACTAAAACACATATTGACTGATTTTGCACGTGGCCCATATGTCCAAGGGTAATGGAATTTCGGGCTGTTTGTTTTTTCATTGGAATACTTTTATTCATTCTTAAATGACCAACCTCTTTTTTGATTTAAAGAAAACATTTAAAAAAGCTGACCTTACTAGGCTGTGGGTGAAGCTGTACAATGGTGCCAACTTTTTGGCACCATTCTGGAAGTGGAACCAAATACATAGAAAAAACATTCTAAAAACCCTTCTTGCCCTCTCCAACACCTAAAATAGATACAGACTCAGAGTAGATGAGTCTTTCCAGCAGCTTGTAGCAGCTTAGAGTGCAGGCGTTGTTTACATCAGACCTCTCTGAACTAGCTGAATGCAGTACTGCCCTGGTGGGCTGCATGGACTCATATAGGTCCATGCTAAGAGACTCAGGGATTATCTTCAGAAATTAGGGACAGCTGACAACTATGCCTGTCTGGGACTGTGGTTTTTAAAGCAGGCATAGCAGGATGGGTGCATATATAAATGTATTATGTAACATCTTGTCTTGAATTGTATTGTAATTGTAATGTGTTCCTTACATTGTAAAGCGCTGCACAAACTGTTGGCGCTATATAAATACTATGTAATAATAATAATAATAATAATATGTATAGAGTTATATTGACATTTATAGACTTTGACAGTAGCTAAGGCACAGTCAGCAGAAGAAATGTATTTATCCTCATTCAAGTTCAGCTGTGATGTGATTGATTTGCTCAAAACCTGTTAAATAAACTCCACCAAGGAGTTTGGCAACAGGTTGTTAGATTCCTCTATAAAGATATGGGTACCCTAGGATATTTTAAACCCTAAGGTTTTCATGCTTGGCAGTATACTTTCTATATCCATCAAAAGGTTCACACACATTGCCCTGCTTGAATTATTGCACAGCCTATAAGGTGATTGGTTACCAAACTTTAGCTGTGACTGACCCTGTACCAAAAACACCTGAATAGAAATTATTAATACTACACTACTCCTTAGGAGATCAATATATGAACACTGTCATATTTTATACAATTTTCAGAGGATCTGGAATAGATGAGTAAGTTCTCTTTTTACCTGTGATTCTATACCCATCTGGTTCTTTATTATTTATTGCTGTCTGAATCCTAGTTCAGTGACTCATTTTATTTCTAGGTGATCACTGTCTCTGGAAAAAGAATAGAGGAGAGATTTCCCGATGGGAAAACCCGTTCCAATGGCAGCTTTTATAGATGGGATTATGGCCCCACTTTTGGGATATTTCCTTTCACCCCCTGTTGTATCTACAGGAGAGGAAGTGAAGACAAATCTTTCAAATAGATAGGCAGACAGCAATAGAAACCTAACAATTTATCCTTCCCTAATCTATCCAAAATTGTAAAAAAAACCTTCGGACTGTTGATCATACTTTAACACAGGAAAAGTTTATATACTCTGGTAAGGATAGAAACCACTCTCACTTTTGCAGATGTAATATGCAGAAATTAGATGGGCATTTAAATATCTTCTCAAGCAATGTAGTGTCAGTTTTAGAAATGTTACTGAACTCTAAAGATGCCCATACACCTTACGATTATCGGACGAAACTTTTCGTCCGATGATCGAACCGCAGTATGATTTTCGTACGACAGCCCCATCCTGCCCCGATTATCGAAAGGTTCAATCAGCGGTAGTTAAAAAAAACACCTGGACAACTTGCGGTAATTGACTGCAACTATTTTCGTTTGCGCATGCGCAGTGTTAATCGTACAACTTTTGACGGACGGAAAAGCCACCAACCATGCGAACATCGTACGATCGACCAAAGTTTTCAAACATGCTTGACCGTCAAAAGTCGTACGATTGTACAGTACTATCGGTCAGGCACTCTATTCACACGTTACGATTGTCGTACGAAAAGTCGATCACATACGATTATCGTACGATAATCGAAAGGTGTATGGGCACCTTTAGCCTTCTCTGTCTAGTCTCATGTGCTATTTAAATCCCTTAATTGTACAGTATATAAATTCTACATAAGTTTCTACACACAGCACTGGTGGTCAGTGCAAATTAGAAACACCTGAGACGGCACATTTTGGAAATTCCACATGTTAACAATGCCTTGGCTCTTGCCTCTTTCCTACATCAAGGGGAATCGTTTTGAATAAGCCATACAGATATCTATACAAACTGCACAGGATGTAACTACTCTAAAATGGATTTGGTAGCTGGAAGCAGATTTGATTTTGGGAACGTGGTTACTTGAAGAATGATTTATTATTTTGCTATTGTGCTAAATATGTAACTTACATCCTTTCTTTATTTGGTGAATCAACTTTTATTACTTTGGACATTTGCAGAACTGTTTTTGTTTAAAAGTACAGACTTTGCTAGAAGCATAATCAGATCCCATTTTACATGTTTAAGTTCTACACCCATAATAATCAGACCTTACTTGGATGACTTTGCTACCTCCTTTGTAAAACTGACCACAGACATTGCATGTTTGTTGCATAATCTGGATGTTTTCACTTGTAATGTGCAACAATCTGTACAAATGTATGGAAGAAACAGACATCCGTTCCGTACTGAACAAACACCAATGGGGAAAATATTGATATAATAGGTTTGAACAGTGTTTCTCAACTGTTTTTTTCTGTCACAGCAGCTTTTAAAAGCATGCAAAATCTCAAGGCACCCCAGTCTAAAATGTAAAAAAGAAAAAAGGATGTTTGGTCCCCAAAAATCCATACCAGAATCTTAGCCTAGACAAAGTCTGGCAAATAAACAAAATAAAAGATTACATGGAGTTTCCTTCTTCAAATCAGAGCTCTCCTCCTTTCACCGCAGAGGCCCCCCCTCTTTCATATCAGAGTCCCTCTCTTTCACAACAGAACCCCCAACACTTTCACATCAAAAAACCCCTTTAGAAAAAAATTGAAGGCACCCCTGACATAGCCAGAAGATACCCCAGGGTTCCATGGCACCATGGTTGAGAAAAATATCTATTGGTGGCCATAAACTTAAGAGTGCAGTATGATATACAGGCAAGGTCCAACCATCCTCCAAACATTTTGGAACCTGTTTTGGTACACGCATACATGTTAGGACACCTGAGAGTGTGTGTGTTTTAGACAAGGTTTTCAAACCCAGCCTTTCACACGACTTGCATAAACATTTTTACCCCATTTACTAACCTGGCATGATTGTTTTCTTGCACTCATTGCACTTGGAAGAATATTCATTAGAATAACATTCCGTACAAATTAAATGTTCATCTTTTGCAGCAAATGGTTTGTCCACCAATGAGCGCTTGCACTGGAAGCAATGAAAGCAGGCTTCGTGCCAGTGACGATCCTTGTATGAAAGATCCTGAAACAACAATTATTCACGATCAGCATAATGTCCATTTGGTAAGGTGTCCTACAATTACTAAAAGATACACACCCCATATTTTTTTCAAAAATCCTGTTGATCTGCTTTGCGTGTTTATGGGTGAATGCAATCGAGGAAAGGGCTTGAAGTTACTAAGCATACCCATAAACATACAGTAGCAGTGTTAAGAAATATTTTTTTTTGAGCTGCAAGCTCGTATGCCTGAGAAAGATCTTCAGTTTTCCACCGGATACATTATTTTTTGCACATTCTCTTCCGTCCTAGGATAATCGGGCAATTATACACAATACATACAGTATGTGTATTTCTTGTACCTAGAAGCTTCATTCTGACATTATCTGACAACCTCATACATATTTTTTTACAAAACATACCATTTATTTGATATGAATAGCTGTTCATTTGTATGGGGTAATATTTTCTTTGGAACATCGTTTGACCAAAGAATTGGTTACAAGTCTGGCACACACTGTCTTATGTCTAGGGACATAAACAGATGGCAGCCTTCTTTTTATAAGAAATAAATAATGTGTCTGTGATTGAAGGGATGGATTGAAAGGGATAACCCAGCATTCAACAGTATGGAGTGCTGGCTAATGCTGTGGCTAGTACTCATCTTTCAGATTCTCTCTCATGTATAAAATACGACATTGCATGGTGGACCAGTCTTTGTTTAAATAATTAGAGAGACATTCCGGGCAACCTAAAATAGGTTCTCTCTAATCAACTGCAGACATAATCTGAACAGCAACTTACAGGGTAATTGGGGGTATATGTAAAGCCTGAGCAAGGTAACTTTTCTTTGTCCCAATTCTTGTAACACTAGCACATTCAAACTTACAGAACATTTTTGACATCAGGAATTTGTATGAAAGAGACTGCGAGGAGCCTGCAATGGGAGTGCTTGGGATTTCCTTAACTGTATTAACATGGGTGGGTGGATGTGAGCTGTCCCTTACAGTTTTGTCACCCAAGACTATGGCTATGCTGGCTATGCAGAGATCTCGTTCATACTAGACATGTGCGATTCGTTTCGTTACGAATCGAAATTCGTACGCATTTTCCTGAAATTCGTAGATTCGTAAGCATACGAAATCCGAATGGCAGTTTCCGAATTTATATCCGAAATACGAAATTCCGTTAACGAATTTCGGATCCGAATTTCTTTGAAACAGGAACTAATATTACCCCTGTAAATGAGGTTGAACAACATGACAAAATTTTTTTTTTAATCCGAAATACGGATCCGCTGCTGCTGAGGGTTGCATTACAATACACAGGCAGGAAATACGAAATTCCGTTGACGTAATTTAGTTCCGTTACGAACATTCGTTATATATTGAAGTTAAAAAGCAAAGTACATTTATATTGGAGTTGATGGTAGTTTTTTTTAAAGTCCGAAATACGAAATTCGGATACGGAATCCGTTAACAGAATTCGTATTTCGTTTTGATTGACCAATCAGAGGTTCTCTTCTGCTGCTGAGAGTTGCATTACAAATACAGGCAGGAAATACGAAATTCCATTGACGTATTTTCGTTCCGTTACGAACATTCGTTATATTGAAGGTAAAAAGCAAAGTACATTTATATTGGAGTTGATGGTAGTTTTTTTTAAGTCCGAAATTCGGATACGGAATCCGTTAATCGTATTTCGGATAAAAAAACAACTACCACATCGACTCCAATATTAACAAAGGTATTTTTGCTTTTTAACTTCATCATAACGAATGTCCGTAAAGTTACGAAAATGTGCAGAAACTAACGAAAATACGTATTTCGTACGAATCCGAATTGAGTTTCGGATACGAATTACGAAATACGAAATAATGGATATTATGAAACGGAACAAATTTTTTGACGGCGCACAAGTCTAGTTCATACAACAAGTTTAGTAGCATTGAACTGAAGAGCTTTTAATGGTGCTAGTAGAAGCTAGTCACCAGTGGTGTGTTCTGTAATTATGAATTTTATGGATCTTCTCTAGATATCTGCAGCTTTCATGGGCATTGCTAGCGCTGGTCACCCCATCAAGGTGAGGAAACTCCTCCCAGGCCTCCCCTCAGCTATGCCGTATGTCACTGCAGAGCTAAGGAGGAGCCTAGGACCGTTGGCTCTGCATTACTGCTCTGATCTAAGGCCTAAAAGGCAGCAGGCGGGCATGTTTTCCACATTCTTTGCCTGGTGCCATGAGTCCTTTGGCCAGGACCACCTGCTTTTTTTTTTATCTGGCCAGCTGCTTTAGCAGCTGTCTGCTTCTGACCTCACCTGCCGCCTTTTAGTCTTTAGATCAGAGCAGTAATGCAGAGGCAACAGTCCTAGGCTCCTCCTTAGCTCTGCAGTGACACACGGCATAGCTGAGGGGAGACCTGGGAGGACCTTCCTCACATTGACGGGGTGCCACTGCATATGAAGTCTATGAGTACATTTCAGGAAAGGAGGGAGGGGGAATCTGTGCTGGGGAGGAGTATGTGTACTGTGAGGAGGGGGAAAGAATTTCACTTGAAAAAGGAATATGTGCTGGGGAAGGGAGATAAGGGCACTCTGTTCGTTATGTACTCATGATCCCTGTACTCTGTGCATTACATACTCTGGCCCCTGCACTCTGTAAGTTAAGTATTCATGACCCCTGCATTCTATGCAAAAGGAACTCTTGTCCCCTGAACACTGCCTAACATACTGCTGACCCCTGAACTCTGTGTGTTACATACTCCTGAACCCTGTTCAGTGTGTGTCACATTTTCTTCACCCCTGAACTCTGAGCATTACAAACTCTTGACCCCTGAACTCTGTGCGATACATACTGCTCAACTCTGTGTGTTGTGTAATCCTGACCCCTGCACTCTGTCTCTTACTTCTAACTCCTGAACTCTGCACATGTACAGTACTCCTGAACTCTATGGATTGTGTACTTTTGCATACTCCCAATCCCTGTGCGTTACATGCCCCTGACCTCTGCATTCTGTGCATTACATACTCCCGACCCCTGTGCTCTGTGCATTACATACTCCTGATCTCTGCTCACTGGGCATTATGATATCCTAACCCCTGTAACCCTGAATATGTCAACTAAATATTGTTGAATTCTGTGCATTACATACTTCTGATGCCTACAACCGGTGGGTTCCGTACTCCTGACCCCTGAACTATGTGTGTTGCATACTCCTGACCCATAAGCTCTGTGCATTATGTACTCCTGACTCCTGAGTTATTTGCATTATGTATTGACAGCTGACCTCTGCACACAATGCGTTGAATATTTCTGACCCTTGTATTTTGTGCTTTATATACTTCTGAGGGGTATACACCCCTGATCCCTGGACAATCATCTGCCTTCTACACTGTGTTTTGCACCCTCCTAACCCCTATACTCTGTGCTTTACACATTTCTGATACCTGCACTGTGTGTTATATATACTCCTGGCCCTTGCACTCTGTACTTTACACACTACTGACCTCTACACTCTGTGTTTTATGAACTCCTGGCCCCTGACCTTTATGCTCTGTGCATTACAAACTCATGACCCCTATGCATTGTGCATTACTGTCTCCTGACCCCAGAACTCTGTGTGTTACAAACTCATAACCCCTGAAATCTGTGCATTATGTACTCCTAACCATGCACTGATCATGAAAATTCACTAGATTTCCCTATCCACACTAGAGAGTATGGATGGAGGACTTTCCCTTGCTGCCTATTGTATTTTGAGATGTGGCATCTGCGGCTGTCAGAATGCCCAAACAGTGACTGCAGCTGATTAGCTGCAGTCACTGTTTGGCTGCAATTTTCCACCCGGCTCTTGCAACAAAGATTGATTGAGAAATCAACTTTTGTCAACCCAAGTGGTGCTGGCAGAGCCCCCCATGGATCGAATCTCGGCTGATACAGCAAGAAATAGCTGAAATTTGATCTGTGTATATCTTAAGAATGGTTACATGGTACAAAATAACTGGCAGGCAGTTCCCATTCAAGGTCCTTTGGCAAGCCCTTCTTAGTCTGGGTAAGGAATTAAAAAGTAAAGTGAAAGGATTTTGTGAATTTAGTATTGTGGCAGTCATGTTTCCTGAAGTGCCAACAATTTTACTTGTTGCCCTAAGCTGTTCTTTAATAGCACATGGAAATCATCTCATTATACCTATGACACTTTTATTCTGTAATTCATCAGGACTTGCAGCACACAGAATAAATCTGTCACAGTAAGAACTGCGACTTAGCAAAAAAAAAAAAAAAAAACTTGGCAAACTCAGAGCAACCAGCTAGTGCTGCTCATAAATAATAAAGTGACTAAACAGGATATTTCTCAATGTGTTGTCATTGCTAATAGCCCAGTGGAGAGCATTCTGTATTCCGCTAGATAGTTAAGTCGCAATAAAATGGGAATGGTTTTAATCATGAAGATAGCTCTGTTTGTGCATATGTTTTAGAGGGATATTAATAAGGATTACCTCTGTAGTGAAGCCTAGGATCATTTTAAAACAGCTCAGATGATTTTGACTCCTTCATAAAATAACTCAAAAGCGACTTCATATTCTATCCTTGTTTTGCCGTTTTGCCAGAACTGTAAGCCACCATTAGGCACCTTCTCCTGTAAGCCTTCATCCTCTTGTTGCACTCGCGGGTGGGGTGGCAGCTTTATAGGGTCCCTCTCATGTTACTAATTGGAAGGCTTAGATGAAACAGTCAAGCTTTACATTATCCTGAAAAACACTTTGAGAAATGATGCCAAAACTATTCAAATCCAGTTTTGGGTGAATATGCTGCTTATATCTAGGTGGGTGGCACTGGCATCCAAACACAGATGAGATTTGCTGAATTTCTGCTGTATGTACTGTGGCACATCAAGTCCTACACGATGAGTTTCACTGATCCACTTAGTGTGGTCCTTAATACAATCATAAAAACTGTAGCTAAACTACTTTAATGAAAGCCTCTGTTCCCGAATGGATTTGGCATCACTGCAGCCAGTTGATTGGTCT